GGTCCCACTTCTTCTTGTGTTACTTAAAACATAATTTTTTGGCGAAATAGTTAAAACAGAATATGGTAACCATAACATTGAATTAGTATGAACATTGATCATACAAATTCAAGAAACCCAAAAATAAACAAATTGAGGCATTATAATAATAAGGTGCCTAGAGAGACAAGAGCTGTCACTGAGCTGATGTTGTCTCCTACTCAGTGCACAAAATTTTCTGTTAACATCAATATATTAGAAAATATTTGTAGTATAAATATAAACATGTTATTCTCAATCTCCTAAGCATTTTTTAGTTTAGATGTATAATAGAAAATCTTTTACGTATAAAAAGTTAAATGATCTAGTATCAGATCATTCAGAAGTGAGGACACAACTAAGTTTACAAGAGAAGAATTGTTATTGAAATTCATGTTGTTGGTTCAACGTAGTTCCGACCAGAGAGCGAGTTCCAATGCCTATCTCTTCGTTTCGATAACCCCACGTGATCGTTTTTACGTTATACAGTCAACGTCTCCAGAGCCAAGCAATACATTACTTTTCATTACAAAAACTAATAATAATTGGAATCGTCTCTTGGTTTTGGTTTTTTATTCAACCCTTTTTATTGATCGTATATAAATAGTAAATATCAACAAGATTCAAGAAGTATAATGATTTAGAATATGCTTTCTCAAAATAATTGTTGTTTTAGACTTTTGTTGTGTTTCAAAGATTGAGGTTTTACGATTTCGGTCTAATTTGTGACTAAGAATATTATGTTTCTCAAATTAATTAAAAAATATTCAAACAAAACCCAAGTTCAAGAATCGGAGACTTTTATAGTTATAATTTTTTTTCCCGTAAATATGTAAGAAACGTACAATACTTGTATTGAAACGTAAATATATAGTAGTATAAATTAAAGTTATCATACCTCTTAATATAATTTCAATTTCCGTTCAATCCAATCTATTTATCTTTTTTTTTTTTTTGCAAAACCAATCTATTTATCTTCTAATGATTTACGATGAAAGACAATAGAAATAGATACTGGGACTATTTGAACTTTATAAATGATTGATGAAAACTGTTATATAGTTTGATTTAATGCAGCTATGTTGTTGAATAAAATTTTATTTATCACGTCCGAATACATTACTTTAGTCACCTCTTTATACTCGTCGTTGATTTTAGTATATTGATAGAACAAAAGTAATCAGTTTCCTTGTTCTTTACTCAACGAATTACAATACGACTACCTTCAACCACATATTCGTTCACAATTTGTCATACGTACACACGAAAATAAGACAAACGAAATGGAATAAAAAAGTGAAAATTTGGAAGGATTAGCATTTGATCCAAATAAACAATAAAAATTTGTGTAAGACATTTCCAAAAGCACAAGATCTAATCTAAACACACTGTGCGCGATCTAGTATATGATTGAAATATAAGTAAGATTTAAATTTAATAACATATACTTCACGACCACCG